TCGCACCCCCCCTTCCCAATCCCCCCCTGTCGTCCGGCCCGATTGGTCCAGCTGCGACGCGAGGCGGGGATCCTGGCCGAATCCAGGCCTGGACCCTCGGGCGCGACGGCCCACCTCGCCGCGCAGCGCGCCGCGGAGCACGAGCCGATCTGCGTGGCCACGCGCGACCTGCTCGCGAATGCCCAGACAAGTTCTAAAGCTTCTCACGTCGAACTTGCGTCGGAGGGCAATCGTAAGACACTCCTGGACAATGCGAAGGAGTTTTGGCTTTGCGAGCACATCCGGCTTGCTCCGGTTGAGGGGCTCTCTTGTTTCACGATCTGCTGGGTATGGGAGTTGCGGGCGCCCATGAGCCGTCTGCGCCAAGCCTGAGCCGCCGCCTCTGGCAGGCTTGCCCACTTGCCCAACATAATCAGGCGGAGGCCCGCTGCCCCGTGGCCTCCTCGGCCGTGCTGCACGCGCGGCGCGTCGGGCGGCGGTGCAGGCACGCGCCCACTGTCCGCCACTGGGGTGCCGGGGGCGGCTCGCAGAAGGGGCTCTAAGGAGGCCGCGCGGCAAGCTGGTCTTCGCGGCCGGGTCTGGCTTCGCCGCCAGCTTCCCCGAGCCGCGCCGCTGCAGCTGGGCGATGGTCCAGATGTCGCGGGGGCGCGCGCTGCCACAGGCGGTGCGGCTCCTCGGCGAATCAGTCGACTTCGTGGCGACGCCCTCGCTGGCGCTCGAGGCGGAGGCACGCTGCGGGGGCGCCTCGCCCGTGCCGCCCACGCCACCATCGACGGCTTCGCGCGCAGCCGCATCGTCCTGGCGTCGCGTCGGTGCCTGCGCACGGAAAGCTGGGCGATTACCTGCAGCGCGGGATCCACTCGGCACTGCATACAAGTAGTATTGGGCGGACTGGTTTGCCAGGCAGGGTGCGTTGGCGCACGCCGTGTCGCAGCTCGACCAGGACTTCTACAAGGTGGACGTCGAGTACCACAAGAAGGTGGAGGCCTACATCGGCTGGGCGATGCAGCGCGTCCTTACGTTTCAGCAGTGGTAGCCCGCGGCGATCGTGCGCCACCAGCCAGTGCGGCTGCGTTCTGGCCGCGCTGCTTGCCACCGCTGCTGCAGGTCGACGGCGAAGCTGGGGGGGCCACCTGGGCGCAGCCCCTGCGATCAGCTTGCAAGGAGCCCAGACATCCGCAGCTGAGGCGGGGGCGATCATCCAGTACGAGGGCGCGGAGGCGGCCTTCAGCTTGACGGCCGGCCACTTCGCCATGCATGACGCGGCGCCGTGCCTCGAGGACCCTGGCGACCTCGAGCGGCCCGTCGTGACGAGATGGGCCCTGGGCGACAACTAGGAAGAGGTCAATGAGCATCGGCCTCGGCGTGCAGGGCTGACGGTCTACTGCCAGGGGTGCGTGGCCTGGTCGGGCGCCGGCACCTCCTGCGCCCTGCAGGCGCCGTGCCTCGGGCAGCCTACAGTGAAAACGTTTAATAAGGACGCGTGGTAAGGACGCGAGACCCTTGGAGGTGCCCGCCCCAAGAGTGCCCTGAGAAACTGGCCTGCGAAAATTGCTAGGGACGGGCCGCAGAGGCTGAGGCAGGCAAGGACCCCAGGGTACCCTTGAAAAATTCGTTTGTCCTCACTATGCGCGTTGACTGTACGACCGATGGCTGAGGCGAGCGCACGTCCTCTCGAGCCTGCGCTCGCGGCTCAAGAAGCTGCAGGCGGGCAAGCACCCCAAGATGTGCTCTACTCATTTCGTGGAGAGCGACGGCCAGCTGATCGGGTGGGCCTGGCGGCGGCGGCGGCTGCGGCTAGGTAAGTCTGCCTGGTGGTGCCGGGTGCTGGGTGCACCAGGGGGCTGGGGGCAAGGATTAATTCGGGCCTGCCCCTCTACATGAGGAATATCAAAAAATAGTAAAACAATTGTCTGGGGACGAGTATTTGATTATTTTTAACAATTCGGGATTATTGTTTGACTATCCTATTTTTTCGTCCAAAAATCCGCCTGAAGGGGGACATGCCCGACCTCAGGCAAGCATCGTAGGTCCTGCGCCCCGCTCCTCATCTCCATGCTGCACTTCTACCGCGAAGCTCCACTACCTCTGCGCCCTCGGCGGAAGAATCTCCGCGCCCTGCTTGGCCGTCGGGCGGAGCTGCGGGGCCATGCTCCCGTGTCCCCCTTCGATCCCCCATCGCTCGTCCCCGCCCCCGTCCCCACCCCCGACGAGGAGGAGGAGGAGGAGGAGGAGGAGGAGGAGGAGGAGGAGGAGGAGGAGTGAGGAGGACGAGGAGGACGAGGAGGAGAAGGAGGAAGAGGAGGAGGAGGAGGAGGAGTCCCCTCCCTCCCCCTGACAGTCTCGCGGCAGGCCTAGCTGTCCCCCCTGGCGCTGGGGGCGCGGCGGTCGCTGCACTGCTGCGCCCGAAGCGGCGCCGCACGCCAGGCACTCGGAGGAGCCTCGCGCGTTCACCAGCGTGCACCGCTGGCACTGCCACTCGCCCGCCCCCGGCTTCGCCCTGAGGGGCCACGCGGATGTAAGCTACGCGTATCTACTGACACAGACAGTGCCTCTATACACAGAAATCTGGCCTTCTGCAACCCCGGGTGCGGTCGGGGAGCCTGAGTCCGGAGCGTCCCAGGAGGGCCCAAGACGGCCCCCGATGGCCCCGAGACGGCCCCAGAACGACCAAGGAGGCCCCCAGACGGCCACGTTGAGCGCCCCCCGCGCCCCGACGAGCGACCAGCGAGGGCCCGACAGGCGCCCCCAGACGGTCACGAGGGGCCCAAGATGGCCCAAGGTGGGCACCGGCCCAACGCGCCCCCTGGCTGGCCCAAAGGGGCCAGAAGACGACTCCCAAAAGGCCCCGAAGGCACAAATTTAGAGCTTCCTGTCGGTTTCGGCGCTTCTTGGTTGCCAAAGGGCCCAGGGCGGCCGTAGAGGCCCCCGAGATCACTCCAAGATGGCCCAACAGGGCCCCAAGACGAGCTACGGACGGCCCAAGAGAGGCCCAAGATGGCCCTAAGACGCCCCGAGAGGACCCCCGGAGGGGCTCCATGCGGCCCAAGAGAACCCCAAGACAGCCCAACTGGACCCCCGGACCGCCCCAGAACAGCCACTAGAGGCCCCCAAGATTGCCCTGAAGGACCAAGACGGCCCACGGCAACCGAGGAGGCCCACAAAATGGCTCGAAAACGGCCTCCAGAGACCCCGAGAGAGAGCCCACTCGGGACCCTGCATTAAAACAGCGACGGTCATAATCTCTCGCTCTCTCTCTCTCTCTCTCTCTCTTTTTTTTGTTTTCTCTCTCTCTCTCTCTCTCTATAGATACATATATATACATATATATGTATATATATATACATATACATATAGATATACATATAGATGCATACACAAACCTGCCGACCTACCTACCTACCTACTTACCTACCTACCGATTTACCTGCATCCGGCATCCGTAAGTACATACGCGCATACGCACATACGTACATGCGTACACACGGACATACGTGCATACGCACATACGGGCAACTGTACCTTCGTACATGCATAACTACATACATACGTAGATGCAGACGTAATGCATACACACATACATCCATCATGCATGCATACATGCGTACACAACTATACATGCATGCATCCAAGCAAGCAGATCACAACCGTGCATACAAACATACATACATCCAGGTCTAACAAGTCACACCTACACACACGTACATACATACGTACGTACATACATACATACATACATGCATACATACATGCATGCATGCATGCATGCATGCATACATACATACACACGTACATGCATGCATGCATGCATACATCATACATTCAAACGAGAGAGCGCATTTTACGGGCGCTTGCCTTGGGAACATTCGGCGGCGCGTTTCGAACCAGGAAGTGGCCCCCCCCCAACAATCGGCGCCTTCGATCAAAACCAGGGGGACTCCCCTCCCCCCCCAAACCCTCCCCCACCCTCGGCGCCGGCGCCAGCGCTGGCGGCCGCCAGCAGCGCCGACGGCGGGGACGCAGCGACGATGACCAGAGGCAGCCCAAGGGGGGAGGGGGGGGGTTCAACCCCCCCCGCCCCCCCCCTGGCGCCGCCGGCGCTGGCACCGGCGCTGGCGCTGGCGGCGGCCAGGCGGCCAGCAGCGCCGGCGCTGGCGCCGGCGACGGCGGGGACGCAGCGACGATTACCACCACTACCACCACCACCACCACTACCACCGCCTCAACCCAGCACCACCACCACCAACTCACCACACAACCACCACCACCACCACCACCGTCACAGCCACCACCACCACCACCACAACTCACCATCACCACCACCACCAAAACCCACCACCACTACCACCACCACCACAATCTACCACACCGCCCCCATCTCCGCCACAACCGCCACCAACACCAGCAGCAAAACCCACCACCACACCACAAACCACCACATCACCACCACCACCACCGCCACCACCACCACCACCAGCACAACCTCCACAGACCACCACCACCACCACCACAACCCACCACCATCACCACCACAAACCACCACCACACCACTACCAAAGAGCCGGCGCCACGCCAGGGAGGGGGGGGGGTTGGGTTCGAGCCCTCCCCCGTCACGGGAGGAAGGGGGGGAAATCGAACCCCTCCCCCTCTCCATCCGGGGGGGGGGCGGGGGGTCCCGTTCCAACCCCCCTCTCCCTCCAAGCGACCACAGAACGTCTCTTTCATACATACACACCTGCCTACCTACCTACCCACCCACCCACCTATCGACCTACCTACCTACCTACCTACCTACCGACATACATACATACATACATACATACATACATACATACATACGTACGGACGTACGGACGTACGTACCTACGTACATACATATTCCAATATATATATATATATAATTGTGTGAATATGCCTGTATACATACACACATCAATATACATACATACATACCTACCGACATACATACATACATACATACATACATGCATACATGCATGCATGCATGCATGCATGCATGCATACATACATACAGGCATACATACATCCATACATACGTACACAAATACATGTGTGCACCTCTATATATGTATAAAAGTATACGTACATCGCCACCAGGCTGTAGTATTAGGTTGCTGCTCCCTGCGCCAATTGTAGTTTCAAGCATCCAATGTTACAATTCTGCTTTCTGTTTCCTACTGTAACTTGTTTCTGGACGCCCGAAATGGGTACGGAAAGAATGGGTACCATGCCCAACAGCAGTTCCTGTTCATTTTGGACAGGACTCGCTGTCCGCGCCGCCGCGGCCTGTGTCCACTTGAGACAGAAGGCCGCCTGCCCAACAGCGGCCGCTGTTGGTTTGGGACAACATGTGTTGTTGGGCATTGTACCCATTCTTTCGGTACCCATTCCGGGTGTCCAAATTGTTAAAATCCGCGCGAGGGTAAGCACCCCCAACCCGGCAAATTACCACCATCGGATCGCGTGAAATCCCGGGGGGTCATAGGACACGTGGAAATACATGATCGTCGCGCCCCCGAGGCCACAATCCTTTGTCAAGAACGCAATGCTCGCGTTCCCGAGGCCGTAAACCCTTGCAAATTACGCAATGCTTGCGTCCCCGAGGGAACACACCCACGTAAAGTACGCAATGCTCATGTCCCCGAAAACTACAAACTTTGAAAAGTACGACATATGTTCTCTGCCGAGGCCAAGAGTACTCCAAGGCGCCCGAATATGGTTCCAAGACGGCCCGAGAGGTCACAAGAGAGCTCCATGAGGCTGCCCGAGAGAGCCCCAAAAGGTCAAAATGGTAGATTTCACAACGGTTGTTGGAGGATTTCGGCCTTCTCGCGTTATCGGCAATGTTGACACGCCAAGACGGCCGAACAAGCTCCCCAGACCGCCCAAGACAGCCCAAGACGCGTTCAAGAGAGCCCTCAGACGGCCAAAGAGGGCTCCAAGATGGCCCAAGAAGCGCTCAAGGCGGCACAAGAGTGCCCCAGGACGGCCCCAAGAGGGGCCCAAGCAGGGCACCAAGAACCGACCATTCTATATCTGTGCCCCGGTGAACCCCCAGGCGGCCTCTAGAGGCCGCCAGGAGGCCCCAAGAGGCCCAAAGAGGCCTCAAGAGGCACCCAAGACGCGCCCAAGAGGCCTCCAAGAGGCCCAAACGATACCCCACGAGGCCTCAACAAACCCCCAAGAAGCGCCCGAGAGACTCCCCAGGACACCCCAACACATTTACAAGAGACCTCAGACCCACAACCCAGGCTCGGTAGCGGGATAAGCCGAAAGCCACTAGGATAACGTCACCGTCTCAGATGCGCTGATGATTCCTATCCGCCCCCGCATGATGTTCCTAGATGCGCCAAGGCAGCGCAGACACGCACTGACGCGTTTCTGATAGAACCCATTCAGATACAAGAGGGGGCCGGCGGCAGGTGGCGAAGCCCGTGAGGAGTACGCGCGCTTAGCGGTCGCTTAGGCTCTAGCGCAAACAAAAAGAGGTTACCAGACTGGATGATAATGCGCACCATCACGCAAAGATAACCATCTGGGAGCGTAGCCCCTGACGGACGTGTCCGGAGTCGTTAAGCAAGCAAGCCCTAAGAGATCCTGCTGTCATGAGCAAATACACCCAGCAGCTGCCCGAAGGTAACCTTTGAGAGGCTGAGGGGGGCTGGTGGCCTATGGACCGTCTCCCGCGGTCTTGGAAATCTTCTAGGCGTCTGGGGGACCCCTCGTTCTATCTCGGAGGTTTTTGCGAGGTCCCTTGGAAACCCTGGGGGCCAATGCCATGGGGCAACTCAAAGCATCTAAGGGCTGCCGAGGTCAATCGAAGCGGCATCGGGCGCGGCCTTGGGGATCCCTCTGGTCGCACCGTGCCTTGATGGGCAGCGACGAGATGTTGCACGACATGCGGCACCGGACGGATGGCGCGGCTCACTCTCCTAACGCAGGCGACGTCCAGCACGACTTCGCGCCATAGGCATGCTTAAGTCGGGCGTGTCCCCCTACAGGGGGATTTTAAACGATAAATAAAACATACCCCACAAATGCTCCAAGATGGAAAAAAAAACATAGTAAAATAAGAGTTCCCATACTATGTTTGGCCTATTCTTGAATATTCCTCCTGTAGAGGGACAAGCCCGACTTAAAGGCATGCGCGCAGGGCGCTTCCCCCCTTAAGCTGTTTCCCGGAGCGCGCTCCGGACGGCTCCAGGGAGGGCGCGCAGGGCAGCCGCGTGGAGGACCCCAGGGGCAGCCCACGGTGGGGGGACGCCCGAGAGCTCCGATCGGCCCGGGGGGGAGCAGCCTCTTGGAATGCCTTTGGGGGGAGCGTGCTTGGAGGGCTCTTGGAGGTTTCTGTCTGTGTGTGTGGGGGGTATCTAAGGCTTCTAGTGAGGGTCTCATGGTGGTCTATTTAGGAGAAGGGGCAAGCAGTCTCTCTGAATGCCTTTGGGGGGAGCGTTCTTGGAGGGCTCTTGGAGGTTTCTG